GCGGCGCGGTGAGCGGCTGTGCGTTGGCCCCGCTTTCGACTCGAGGCGTTCGCCTGTCGCCTCTCATCTCATCGCCGTCTGGACAGCGGCGCGGCGAGGCAATTGTGCGCTGGACGGCAGCGCGGCTAGCCGGCTGTGCGCTGCGGCGCGGCGAACAGCTGTGCGCTGGACGGCAGCTTTGCGATGGCGCCGCCTTCGACTCGAGGCTGACACAGTCGAGGGTCTGTTCAATGATCGCCATTCCGCCACGACGCACAGCTCCAAGGGCGCCGGCGGCAAGGTCTCCCGCCTCTGGAGGGCCGACTGAGCCGGTCGGTACCGGACAATCGGGCGGGGCGAGGAAGGGGGGTGGGGGCTGACCGGGGGGGAGCGCGCTGCGCGCCGTGAGAGCGCGCGCAAAGAACGTCTGCGCTTGTTCAGTTTCGCTTCTCTCGATTCTCCTCGGGGAGCTTGCAAAAAAAGAATACATGCTGGTGTCGGACTTTGGGTTGGGCGCCCGACTTGGAGCTTCTGCCGCAGGCAGCGCCGAAAGGGCGACCACCATCATGCTTGTCCGGCTCCTCCCCCTCGTGTGGTGGTTCGGCGCCGCCTCCGCGCTGCATCTTGCCGCGCTCCACCGCCGCGTCGCCGTCGGCGCCGACAGCTCGCTCCAGCTGAAGGTCGTGTACGACGCCGACCGCCTGTCGCCGCTGCCGTGCGTGCTCTTCTTCAGCGGGGCTGACTGCTCCCACGAGTCGTACATGTGGCTCGCCGAGCGGCTCGCCCGGGCTGGCTGCGCGGTGGCGCTCTCGTCGTGCGTGGTGCCGTTTGGGCCGAAGACGTGCCTCTTGTCGACGCCGTTTGACCTGGGCGCGCTGGGCAGCCTCGAGGCCTACAAGCGGGGCCCTTCGCGCGCCGGCATCGCCGCGATTCTCGACGAGCTGCGAGCTCTCGCTGCCGCCTCGGACGGGCCCCTCGCCGGCCGCCTCGACCTGGGCCGCCTCGCCGTCGGCGGCCACTCGTCGGGCGGCCGCACCGCCCTCGACCTCGCCTCGTTCGATGAGCCGTTCGGCGTCGCTGCAGTCTTTTCGTACGGCGCGTCGCT